ATGTACAAGGGGAAATCTGAGTTCGCAGAATCGTTAATCAATGCAGCCTAAGACCCTTCACCCTCAACCGCACTACTGTCTGCTTCCACACTTCAACCCACGTACACAGGGAACAACCAAAGTCCGGGTCCGCCTCCTCTCTTCACAATGGGACACCTCAGGGCTTTATTAGTATTACCTGTGCATTCACAGCACTGCCCAGCCACAGGAGGGAAAAGAAGTCCAAGAAAGCTTTCTGCACAGTTCTACAAAACGTCACTGAGAGCAGAGCTCCTTCACCTGCTGTAGCCGGGTTATCCAGCTCACCACGACCCGGAAGGCCTTGGAAGACCTGTTAACTAGGCAAAAGTGACACTATCACCCCACAGCAGGGAAACCACGGATTTCCCCAGCGTCAAATGAGGCAAGAAAACAGGAAGCTACAGCATGATGTGGAGCACACACCACCCAGAACCCCCATTTCACAATGACACTGACTATATCAAAGTCCCCTAACTGAAGAGTTAATCAAAACGATAGCTGCGCTACTATAACACTGTTGCAAAGCCTGTGGTCTCATTCTTCTAAAACTGAACAGGAGCCATGTTCCCATGAGCTGTCTGGCTGGCTCAGAGCACACGAGTGAGATTTAAGGACAGTGTGAAAGGATCACACACAGAGGCATAAATTCACCACCACTGGCTACCAAAAACAAAAGAACAGAAAACTTCTGACACCCATAAAAATCAAGCTGCTGTTACTATACTGGTAATGAAAATCACCACACCAAGTTTGGAGTTTAGCTTTCCAGCAGGAACAAACTAGGACCCAAGAAATGCTCTCCATATACTTGGCTCAAGGGCTCGAGTATACTAAGCTCTACCGCCTGTCTCTCCCAGGCCTCTGACTCCCTCGAAATGCACCGAATGTATTAATGCATTGGATTAATATGCACTGAGCCCCTGATATTTGCCAGGTATTATCCAAAGTATACAGAAGATCTCTGCCCTCAACAATCTAGCAGGAAGAAACAGCTTTAAAAAAAAAAGAAAAGAAAAAGTAAGTTATTTAGTGGATCAGACTGGGCAGAGTACTATGGCTCTCACCCCCAAGCGACCGCTGTCCACCTGAGGCTGTAAAAGTTTATCTCGCCTGTCACACTTGGTATACAACACATTCTCCGTTTTTAAAAAGCCTTTTAAATGCAGAAAGGAGCAATCATTTTAACAGTTTTTAAATTTCCTGTCTTAAGAGGTGGAAGTAAGAAACACTAACTACAAGGTGCTGAACTATAATTAATAAAAGGAAAAGAAAAAAAAATCCAGAAGCTCTTAAACTAGTCTACTATGGTTTTTTGAAAATATTATGTTTTCTCTGGATTACAGAGACAAAAGTCACAAGATAGGTCAGTTAAGAGATTATACCTTTGTGTGTGAGAAAGACAGGCTCTTGCTGTGCCCTTCAGCCTGGCTTTGAACTCACTATGCAGCCCAAGCTAGCCTGAAACTCAAGGCACTCCTGCCTCAGCCTCCTGAGCACTGGGATTAAAAATGTGTGCCATCACACCTGGCAGATTACTCAGTTTAACCCACAGATTCTCAGCTCAGAGCCCACAGGTTCAGGGAAGCAGGGGAACGCCTGAAATTGTGAGCACTATTGGGGGGAGTAGGGAGAATGGTACGCTTGCCTTATGGGGAGAGGGTTAGTAATGTGTCAGAGGTCTGTGTCCCAGGAATATTAAGGAGCACTGCCCCGAAGCAGAAAATGCTTCTTAAGAACTCTAAGTACCCTACCGTTCATAGTAAAAGTGTGCTACTATTAATCCTGTTAATCCCAAGTCAGAGTCTTCATTTCTCTTAACAGGTGCAAGCTTTATTTTGAGCGAGTGGAGACAGGCAGGGAAACAAGGCAGTCTTCACGAGCAGTGCAACACAGCTGCATTCAGAAACCCTGTCCACATGTCCACCCCGGAAGGGTGAGACAACTGTTTCGGTGGATACCAGCTCTTCACACTCCGAGTCCAAACACAAACCGCTACAGTCCAGCTTGACGCTAGCCTAACTCGGTCCTGCCTTAACTGTCAGAAACCAACACCTCTTGCATGCGAACAAAGCCTTCTGCCATGTTCCACATTGAAGCTCATTCTGAGGATCTTAACAGACGTGGAGGAGATGCTCAGACCTAAGCCAGCTGTTTTCCTTGCTGGCTGCATCCTGTGATCCTTTGTGACTGAAAATTCTACAAAGACGCACAGCTATGCAGCCATTCAAAAGGGTCCCTCAGCGATTCTCAGGGCTCAACGGGGTTGAACAGCCTCGGTCTAGAGCAGAGATCTCCAAGTATTTCTGGAAAGGGCCTGACACACATTTTGTCCTTATGGGCTATCTGGTTTCTCTTGTAACTGCCCAACTCTACTGATAGTCAGATATGTGACTGAGGAAAAGACAATCATAATATAAAAAGGCTCACAAGGTGACAAAAACAAACGCTGCTGTGGCTGCCTAGATATTCCGAATTGATTTAAAATGTTTACCTTAGGTGGTCATTTTGACTTTGGGGAAAAGCCAGAAGTCCCGCTGACTGAGCCAGGCTCAGTTAGTAAGGTGGAAGGGGACATGGAGTCGTGTTCTTATGAGCCTGTTAAGGCTTCTATCTAGACCTCTCCACTAAAGCCCATACAGTCATAGGTGGGCTTTTCCAGAGGTGGCTGGCCTGAAGGTGTGTGATGCTGGGACCGCCAGTGCCCCTCCCTGAGTGTGACTGGCCCCACCCTGGACGGAATATAAAAGCAGGCTTGCCGATATTTCTTCACTGCTTTGCTGCCTTCTGCCTACCATAAACCCCTTCTCCTCTGCGATGCTTGTCTGCCATGCCATGCTGCCTTGGAGCCAGGCGACTATGGACTGAAGTCCCTGTGCTATGTGAGATGAAATAAACCTTTCCTCCTTTAACTTTGGTTGTCCTCGGCACTGAGAAAAGTAATTAAGACACCGTCTTTCTGTTAGATGGCACTTGTCAGTAGCATTCAACCCTGTTTTTCGTACTAGAACTTCTTTGAGGTACACAATGTTCACATTTATCTTGAGCAGGTGTATGTAACATTATCTTCATTCTTTTTATTCTCCTTCACCTCCCCATGTCTCCCCTTCTTTCATCTCTAGAGGCCCTTTGTCAAAGGCCTATCTTCCTTTTTCCTACTATTTTTTTTTAATCACACCTTATAAAGACATTAAAGAAACAGGACTCACACAATGCTTTCGAAAGTGGCAGGAACGATGGCTATGTTTGAAGAGAGGGGCAGTAATTTGAGGGGACTAATGGCAATGTATCTTTTACTGAAATAATTTTTTCAAACTGAAGTATTCATCTTATATTTTGATCAGCCCCCCATAAATGTTGCACTATTCACAAACACTAAAATGTGAATCAATCCCGATGCCCTTCAGTGAGTAAACAGAAAATGAAAATGTGGCATAGATACAGGATGGAATATTCCCCCCCAAAATAATGAAACCCTGCCATCTGCATCAACATGGATGGAACAGGAGGTCCTTACGTGAAGCGAGGTGAATGAGAACAGAAAGACAAACACCACAAGTTCTCACTCATTTGCAGGAACCAGTAAGTCCACCTTGTAGGACAGAATGGGACACTGGTCGCTAGAGATAAAGAAGGGCAGGCACTGTAGATGGAAAAAGTTCAGTAAGGAGCACAGAAACAGCATGGAACGATTATTTCTGTTTCTCCTTCAGCATAGTGGGATAACTATGTTTTCTTAAAAAAGATCTATGTTTTTCAAAATGGCTATAAGAGTACAAAATTCCAACCATACAAAAATGACTGTCTGAAGACAAGAAATGGTAATTATCCTGATTCTATCACTACACATTGTATACGTGTATCGGATTATCATAATGTACTCCAGAAAGATGAACAAACATTATGCCTCAATATAAATAAAACAGAACGGAGTTTTGCATGGATCTGGCGAGAGAGGAGTAAACTGAAGTTGTCTCTGCTCACCCTGACAGAAGGAGTATGTGCCCTCCCCTCCCGCCCACGTGGACATGCTGTTGGAGGCTAGAAAGGGTTTACTCTCCCTCAACTTCCCCTTTACTTGCTACCCACAGCTGTCGATCCATCCAGAAAAGTCCTCTGCCAGGTTGGGCGACCTTTGAAACTACAGGGCAGACAGATGCCAGCCTTCACCAGCAGGTGTCGGGGGAGCCTGGCCTCCATACACACTCAGTGTCGCTCATCACCCTGCGACAGTCTGGATCCTGGCTGTCTCCCAAGGGCTCACGTTATAGAGGCTAGATCCCAGGCTGTGCTCCCAGGAGATGGGGAAAACTGTTAACAGCTGGGGTCTAGGGGAGGGAGGGAGGTCACTGCGGAGTGGCCATGACTGGGATCTCAGGACCCACCCCTCAACCTCTCTGTTGCTTCCCAGCCTCCGGGAAGTGAAGAGCTGCTCTGCTGCGGACTCCTGCCCTGAAGTACTATTACTGCCACAGGCCCCAGGGCAACAGGCTCCAGCAATCAAGGACCCCAAAACCATGAGCCAAAATAAAAACTTTCCTCCCCCGAAGTTAATTATCTGGGTTATTTTGTTGCAGCAAACACAGTTCTCTTCCTCCCTTTCAGCTTTGTTTGTCTTATTTTCTCTTATTTTCTAAGCCACAAAGCTCTAACTTGATGGAGAGTTCACGGGCACCACAACACACAGAAGCCGAGTGAGAAATCCAAGGATAGGACTGAAAACAACAAAAAATATCAAAACAACTCGCTATCACACAGCTAAGATTCATTTGCATCTGCATGAAATGTTTCTTTGTTAAGACCGGGTAAGGTTCAGATGTACAGAACTCCATCAGAGAAGGTGTTAGGAAGAGATTCACCATAGCAATGAGGAAGAGAGGGAGAGGGACATGCAGAGGCAGAGAGAAAAATAAATCTAAGAGGATAACAATACATTACATGGTGACCAGGCATGAAGAGGGAAAAAAAAAAGACCATTTTACCTTTTCGTGGTTTTCAATCAGAATTTCCACAACAATATTCTGAAACTTCAGATCCATGATGGCAGCAACAGTTTCTTCCTGTGGCCTCATCAGGGTTGGTCCAAACACCACTCCCAAATTCGCCACGGTCATGAGATTCTGCTTGGAGTGATTGGAAACGCTAACGTTGTGGAGGGGAAAACAAGATACGTTTAGGGGGGGGCGCACAATCATGGAAGGCACCGCGTCTTACAACTGCTCCCTTCAACACAAGAAGTCACGGAACTCAGCGTGTCTTCGGTGTCAGACCTGACCACGGCCTACACGCTCCGGCCCCAGCTGCTCTGCTTCTGCTCGCTCTCGGATGCTCGAGTCACAGGGGCCCTCGAAATCAACCCATGTGTGCATTCAGCTCCTTTGCACCGAACTTTAGAACGCCCTGTCTTGCCCCAGATCGTCATATTCTCGCTTCCAGGGACGAGTGGACCGCAAGGCACCCGAGTAAGAGGGAGCTTCACGAGCACAAGGATCTGGAGAGCACACGGCTCATTCCCGCAGCCCAGCATTCAGTATGCAACCATCAACAGGGACCCGAGTCTCAACACTAAGACCGCATCCTCAAAAAAGTCTTAGTCTCACATCCAAAACATATTCTTTCCCCTGACTGTACTTCGTGTTTGCTCCACTTATCATCTGAAATTATTTTTTGTATTTTCATTGTTATCTGTTTATCTTTTCCTCCATGGGAAGTAAGAACTTTTATCTAGTTCAACTGTATATCCACTGGTACCTTAAGAAAAGCACTACATAAATATGTCTGATCAAATAAATAAGCGGTTTTATTTCTGGCAAGTCACAATACCCTCAGGCCTTTAGTCTTTTGACGGAGGAGTTCTAAAACCATACTCCTCACCTGCTCACCGCTAAATATTACAGTTGTGAGTGATCTAAGACTCCTCGACATTTGAAAACAGGACTAATTTCTGTGTCGAATTATTAGATTTTGTTTGCTTTTTAAAGATGGAGGGGGAAAAAGAATGGACCCTGTGAAATAAATACCTATTACTGGATTAAATTTAGAAGAACTTGTTCAAACTTAAGAGTCCCGTGGGTGCGACGCCAAGCTCCATCTGCTGACGGACTCGTGATGCCAGTTCCAGACTTGCACATGGGGCAATAAATATATAATACTCTCTTCTCTCACTTCAAGTCTGGCCCTGAGATGCTGGCAGTGATGTTAAGGAAGTAATTTTACAACTTCACAGAAGCATCCTATTTCACCTCTCTTGTCCAAAACACACAAAATGAGTCAAACGTCCAGCCTGCCCCTCCAGGTCCCTGGGCTCTGTTTATATGGATTCGGCTCCAGCATGAGAACACAGCCCAGAACCCTCAGCTGAGTGGACAGGGAGAAAGGGGGAAAAGAGCCTTACTTTGTTAAGTGCTTCACCAAAATATCCAACATTTCTTTATTCTTCTCTGGTAGTCTGTGCACCAAGAAATGGATAGCATTGACACGAGATTCTGGGCTGCCGCTTTCTTTAAAGAGAAAATAAAAACAGTTAATAGAGTCCTCAGAATCAAATATGTTTCCCCCCAAACAACGATTGTAACAGTACATCTGTCCCAGATCTTAAAATAGTGTAACTTTACTTTGCCACCTTTAAAAGATTAAAGCAAGCTTATCTCTCCCACCATCACTGATCTAACGTCCTGCCCTTGGCTATAAGGTAACATTCCTGTCACTGAGAGCAGACAGCCGTGACAGCTTCTCCTGCCTGCATGCACACTTCCAGTCAGCTCATGGCTCGCTTAATGGCGCCCAGTCACAGAAATGCGTCCACAATGGGATGCAAGTCAGGTACCAGTGCAGGGATGATTCCCTATCAAGGTTTGCACTGGATCTCCCAAAGAGACACACTGAAGTCCTGAGGCTTAGGTCCTCACAGTGTGACTTGGGGATTCATCAGCTGTGGTAAGACATGGAAATAAATGTGTATCTAAGAAGGAAAAGAGCACATACTCCTATCGCCCTAAAAATGAAAGGTGTGGCAAGCCTCAGGGGCCACAGAGAGCAGGTCTAAGAGGGCTGGCTACTTGGGAGGATTTCAGTAAGCTCCGGGGCAAAGGAGCTGTCCCGAGTCCTTGGTACCTGACCCTGAGGCAACTAGGAGAAGAGAGCATTGGCCTGGAGCAAGAGAGTCCAGCCTGCAGGAAGGAGGTTTGGGCTTTGGAATGGACGGTTTGCAAATGAAAAGCAACCTGGGGTTTGTATCTCTAGGAACAGAGCAAGTTCAGGAAGAAGCAACATGGCCCCAGATGACAAAGTATCAAAATTCAACACCTCACTTAACATAAGGCCTGAACTGGGAAACAGTCCTTGCAGATGTCATTTACGATGACCTCGTTATGGAAGATGGTGGGGCCCCTTACTCCAGTAAGACTGGTGCCCTTGTAAGAAAACAAAGACACAAGGAAGATGGCCAAGGAAAGGCAGCTCGTGCAACCACGCAGGCAGGGACCAGGGTGAAGACTCTGCAAGCCAAGGAACTTAAGAGTTTCCAGAAACCATTGGAAGGTGGAATTGGCAAGAAAGGATGCTCCCCTACCAGCACAGGGAAACAAAACACACCTTGAGTTCAGACTCCCAGCCACACAACTGTGAGAGGCAAAACTAGCTTGCAGTACTTCTATTTACAGCAGCCTTGGGAAACTAACATATTCCCTACCCCTTAAATTTGGAACTGTTATCCCTGGCTCCTATTAATAATGCAGATCCCTTTACCATGTCCTTGATGGGGAAATTATCAAACAAATCTTTTAAAGTGCTTACTAATGAAGATAAAGTGGAGCACCCAGGGATGTCAAAGTGACTGATGAGAATTAGCTGCTCAGTTTATTGTAACTTTTCTCGAAACCTATTTTTTCTCATGATGAAAATTATTTTAGATAACAGAAAATCAAGTTTAAAAAATCACTAAAAATTTGAAATATGTACGTGTGCATGTGAAACAACAGGCACTCAAACTATAAAGAACTTACACAACAGCGACAAAAGATAACACAACAAGAAAAGAGGCAGAGCCGGGCATGGTGGCACACGCCTATAATCCCAGCTCTTGGGAGGCTGAGGCAGGAGGATCACTGTGAGTTCAGTATCAGCCTGGGCTACATAGTGAATTCCAGGGTAGTCTCAACTACATAGTGAGACCCTGTCTCAAAAAAACCAAAAAAGAAAAGAGACAGAACCAACTTCACAAAAGGAATGTAAACATTAAGTCAGTAGTCTCAAACATAGTGAGACCCTGTCTCAAAAAAACCAAAAAAGAAAAGAGACAGAACCAACTTCACAAAAGGAATGTAAACATTAAGTCCTGCAAACATGTAAGGAATAATGGGGCGGGACCAAGAGATGGAGGGAGGGAAGGAAGGGAAAGGGCATGAAAAAGGAATTAAGATGTGTTATTTACATGCACCAGCTCCCCACAAGGAATATAAATATTATGTAATACATGTACTGATAAACTAAAAACACAAAATGTATTTCTCTGTTAAAAAAACAGGCAGAAGACTAGAGCGGAACACACAAAAGACTTATACATCTGAACAATAAACATCTGAAAATGGACTTAAACCTGTATTAGAAATTTTTATTAAAAAATTGATACAGTACTACTTCATCAGGACAACAGAAGAGCTTCAATGCGTACTAGGTTGTGATAAGAGTCACATGCTAACTAGGTGGGGATTTTTGGAAGGGGTTTGCTGGAGACCGCGCAGAGGTTCTCAGGGTACACGTGTACTGTGCCACTGGGCTGTACCCTCAACCATAAATGGCTGGAAGGCTCTGGAGAAAGTGCTCAGCAGTACTGACTAAAGCTGAACAAACACATGCCCTGTGACCCCAAAGTCCCACTCACTCCCACATAACAAGAAGACACGCACATGAACGTCCATTAGAAGACACAAGCAAGAATGTTCTCAGCAGCCATCTTTGGAATTACCCCCACGTGCAGCAAACCAAATGTCCATTGATCGTAAATCAACGAACCTGTGGTGTTCGATTCATACCACACAATGAAGGTGAAAGGACCAGCGTTTCCTACAGTACACAGCAGCCAGACTACAGTCCTTCTCTCTACCTCACTCCATTCATCTGAAGTGTAACTGCAGCAAGACCAAACCGGCAGGGTCAGAAGTCCGGGGAGCGGCCGCACCCATAAGGGGGCCACTGATCAATCACACTGGCATGACGAAAGACTTCTGAAGGCCTGACGGTGTTCGCTTTCTTCACCTGGGGCTCATTACGTGGGTATTTTCACTTGGAGGATATTCATTTTATTAACTGTGCACGTTGGTGCACATTTATGTTTCACTTGGACAAAATTCACTTAAATTAAAAATCACCCACAATAAAGCTGAAAAAAAAAATCACCCACAAGAGGCCGGGCATGGAGGCACTCGCCTATAATCCCAGCACTCGGGAGGCTGAGGCAGGAGGATCGCTGTGAGTTCAAGACCAGCCTGGGCTGCATAGTGAGTTCCAGGTCAGTCTCAACCACATAGTGAGACTCTGTCACCGTCGACACAAATGAAATATTGTCAAAAAAAAAAAAAAAAAAAAAAACCACCCGTAAGAAATCTCACCACAAAGCCTGCACATCTTAACTTCGATCTTTTCAGAGTTCAAACAGCCCATTTCCCTGGATATATGTCCAGGATGGCTTTCCCTGACATTAAGTTGTTTCCCAATGTTTGTCAAGTTAAATTTGTTCCAGGGCACACTCCCTGTAACAGTGTCTGAGAGTCAGGAACTAGGCTTTACGAGAGCACATTCAGACAGCTGGCTCCAAGAAGAATGGAAGCAAATTCGATCTTTTCAGAGTTCAAACAGCCCATTTCCCTGGATATATGTCCAGGATGGCTTTCCCTGACATTAAGTTGTTTCCCAATGTTTGTCAAGTTAAATTTGTTCCAGGGCACACTCCCTGTAACAGTGTCTGAGAGTCAGGAACTAGGCTTTACGAGAGCACATTCAGACAGCTGGCTCCAAGAAGAATGGAAGCAAAAAGGCCAAGAAGCTAAAAAGCATTTGATGCAGCAGACCACAAACAGTCAGGTCATATCACCAAACAGAAGGACTTTTAGATACAGACTTAAATTTACCACTGAAAATGAAAGTACAACTGCGGAAAGAGTTAGGTGACAAATTACAGCCCATTCAACAGCTAGAGTTATGACCAAGATACTCATCAGGGCGGGAGAAAATGAAAGCAATAAAAACCGAACCTCAATTCATAGCTTTGATTAAAAAAAAAAAAATTAAAGCAGAACTCTGAAACAACAGAAACTTCAAAAGATTTTGGAAGGATAAGAATTGTGTATTTCAAAACTAAAAATTCTTGAAAACTTTGTATTAAAAAGCTACTTTTAACTCGAGTCTATTTTAACATTAATAATTATCTTTCTCCAATAAATGCCTAGTTTAAACTCTTTAGGAGTCATTATTTACTCAGGAACACAAGCTACAGAAATCGTTTCCCATCCTTTAGGAATAGGGTCCTTCATTTCTAAAAATAGTGGACTCAGTTTTGATTTCTTTCTTTAGAGTTCCTGTGCTGATAGCTACAACTCTGAAATTAAACATACATTTTTTTAAACAAGTCTCCCCTCGAAAAAAGTTTTTTTTAACCAGTAGGGCTTGAAATAAAATACTTTTCTCTATCTTTATTTCTGACATTAATCAGAGGTTTCTATTAACAGACATTTACCATACGGCTACAACATAATTTAAATCATTTCTAAGTCTTTCTAAAATAAATTACTCCAGGCATGGTGACAAATGCCTATAATCCCAGTACTCTGGGAGACTGAGGCAGGCAGATCACAAGTTCAAACCAAGAATGGGCAACTCAGTGGGACCCTGACTCAAAGAAAAACAAGGAACAAAAAGAGGCTAGAGACATAGCTTCATACAAAGGCCCTGGGTTCAATCCTCAGAACCACCACAAAGAAAAAAAAAAGTTATCTTCAGTTGCTTATGATGTATGTACTGCTATATTTTAATTGGTACTTTCTGACAAAGAATGAGAGGTCTAACACTTTTTTAATCTATAATAATGAATTCATTATACATCCAATTCGTGAAATTTGCTAGGAAATTATGAGTTTACCATAATTTTTAAAAAGTATTTTACCGGGCCAGGCGTGGTGACGCATGCCTGTAATCCCAGCACTCGGGAGGCTGAGGCAGGATGATCGCTGTGAGTTGGAGACCAGCCTGGGCTACATAGTGAGCTCCAGGTCAGTCTCAACTACATAGTGAGACCCTGTCTCAAACAACCAAAAAAAAAAAAGTATTTTACCTAAAACCATAGATAAGCGTTCAAATTTTAATATCTACTTGCTTATGGTGCTATTACAATGAACAGGCTGAAAGAAGATATGGTCAATCTTATTGGAATTTCTCAAGGAAACACAGGCAGATAAATGTCCCAAGACCTAATGTTTAAATGCTGTCCATTATACTGTAACGTAGGGAAGCACCTCCCAAGTGAAAACAGAGGTTCAGTCACCAGGCGTGAAGTGTTCCACTTCTTCTGTGCTCTGTCTCCTAAGAGATAAATACACCATAAGCGCTAAGGGATGCAGGTACCATTAAACATGCAATTCCTTTAGCTGCTAGTTTCTGGACCCTTCGCCGCCAAGATTTTGCCTTGTTTCCTATGCAGGTTTACCAGCAAAGATACCACACTTTGGATTAGGCAAACAGCAAGACACTGGGTCCTGTTATAATTATGTTTCTCATTAGAAATGACTCTGCAATTTTTCAGTCTCTGATTCTGTTTGCCAGCAAATCTGAGTACAGGAAGACAATACACTCAACGCAGCAACACTACCTTCAGGTGCCACGGTTAAGAGGTTTTTTCATATAATCCAGGAGGCAACCAGGCACTAGTTGTTCTCCTTGTGCTAGGTTTAATGTGAGTCCAATTCAGACACAGAGCTCCACGATCCCCAAAACGACATGTCAAGGACTCTGAGCCCACACATGGGTACGATCCCCTGCCTTCTTATATGAACCAAGTAACTGCATTTTTATCTGAGAAATCTCTATACCAAAACCCAGGACTATATATGATTCTCATAAGGTAGATGGTCTTAGGCTCCTTTCAGTAATTTGAATGCACTAGCTAACAGAGTTTGAACTATTTCAATTTTCTGAGAGAAAAATAATTCTTTTGTTTTTGACCTACTTAACATTCAGTAGTAAGTCAGTAAATTTATTTTTTTTCTTTCTATTTTTTTTTAGAACAAGGAACAAAAAATTTTGCTTTTTGAGGTGACGACGACACAGAAATGAAATTCGAATCTGTAACATGAACTCAAGAAATGAACTTAAGAGTTTCTTGGCAAAAAACTACAGGAAAGAAACTGATGACAGAAAACTAAGGGATCTGGGGGAAACCATCAGGACTCCCAGCAGGAGGAGAGAAGAGACAAGCTCAACACCATGGAGCAGATGGGATCCACACACATGCCAGAGAAGCAGCAGAACTTCGTTCCCATGCTGACAGGAGAGGCGGTAGCAAAGACTGGAGATGCTCCGTCATTTTAGCAATCAGCTTAGCTAACAGAAATTTTAGCAAAACAAGGTAAACTGTGCCATTGTTAATGGAGAGTGATAGCTTAATCACAATCCCAATTTCCCAACAATATGCAGAGCGGGAGACTAATTCAGCCATCTCAGTTCTGTATGTTTTATCCAACATATGCAACATATTCAAGGAATGTTTCCCTCATTCTCCCCTAGGTACAGAGAATGGTCCTTGGAGAAAGGGGAAAAATTAAACTCTACCCTTGAATTTTTGGGCCCTAAAAAGAAACCCATTTAGTACGTGTACTTTTTCTCGTTAAGCAAGGTGACATTCCAACCACAACTGAACTTCAGTGAAGCCGATGCCAATAATTACAACAGCTACAGGATTCCTTCGGAACAATCCTGTTATTTAAAGAATTATGAAGAGTAGTATAGAATCACCACAGTTCGGAAACAAAACACAAAAGTGAGTACTGGTCCAACAAGTGAATCTCTTACAGTTGCTCAACTCTTTGCATGACCTACTTCAAAACTACCTTCAACAAAGTCTACTACCATGGACTTAGTATCTCTTCTTACCTGAAAGGTAAGAACTTCCTCATCTAGTACAATCCATTGATATTAGAATGTTAAACCCACTTTTTTTTCAGTTATAGGTATGGTGATAGAATTTGTGACACTAACTTCTGATAATTTAAAACTTTATTCCATAATTGTTTTATCTTTCTCCAATTCTCAAAGGATTCTAGATTAAAGTTGGCACTCTTCTGCTTTTTCCAGTCTCTAAGGCGAACAACACAAAACAATTGTCCTTCAACTAAGTTTAATTTGCCTTTCCCTAGTTTGCCAAAAATGCCGCGGGGAAGAAATCAAAACAACTAAGCATTTGCTTGAATTTTTGCCAAGAAAACTTTTCCCTACTTCCTTGATCACATAAAATTCTCTTTAAGGAGTGGGGGGGGAAGGCTTCATCCGTGTGGAAACAAAACTGAACAGAACCATATTCTTGCCTTTTCCAAAAGCCTGTTTTATAGGTGCAGGGCAAGGAGCCTACATATGGCTCCTCTCTGCAATGTACCAGTAACTTTAGCCTAGCTGCAGAAAAGACCTCACAAGAAGCCAGCATGCAAAGTCCTGTTCAGGCAGCACTCACACGGGACCCAAAGGGACTGCTCCAAGTTTTTCAACAGATTAAACTCTGAAACACATCCAAGGGGGAAAAAATAAAAGGAAATTAAAACACAATTTCAGCTACTGTCAGCGCACCTGTGCAAACCAATACTGGAAAGTTTAGCCAGCAGGACTGGGGTTTTGAATTTTACATTCAGTTCTCCATAATCTGGTAATTTACTTAACATGTCTCAACCTTCATTTCCTTAAATGTTAAATACCAAACACCAGGACATATCAGAAGACTCAAATGTTTACATGGTACACGTCAATTATAAAAAGTGAGCTGTATGATAACAGAAAATGAAAAATCCTTGAGTAAGACTCACAAAAGCCTAATCACAAATTAAAATTCCACCAACTATGGGCTTTTTCTTTTAACATTTTATCACATATAATTCACTCTATCAAATATTACTTGGACTTCTGCCATTATCTCATAATATTCCTTCCGTCTATAATTTCTATTTAAATGTCTTTGTAAACTATCTCTAACCCACTAATCTCTCCAAATCAGTTACTCTCTCCAGCCCCCTGCAAGTTAAACACTTCTGTGTTCCAGAAGTGTTCTGCTCATGCGATTATATATTTTCTAGTACAACAAGAAGTGCTTATGCCCCAACACTTGCAACAAAATTGGCTCATGGGGTCGGGAATCCTGTCAGGGTTTCACATATCCAGAACACCAGCTACTCACACAATAAGGAATAATTAATATTCATGAGTGAATAAGTACACTGTCTTTTTTTAATTTCTAAAAGGAAGGAACAATCAACCACCTTCTACAGTGATTTCTAGGTTTAATAGAGAACACAGTAACACTAAGATAAACTTTTCACGTGGAAATTTTCAGTTTGTATACACTATAAGGCACAAAGTTGTATGTATAACCTCTACAGAATACTTACTGGCTGGAACAATGAAATCTCCATGTAACTCATACGTCATGAGAGGTTCTGGAAGACTTCTATACAAAAAGAACAGATCAGAATTACCAGACAAATCCAAACAGGTCATCCATGTGTTTAGTTTCTTTATAAAAGGGTGCTAAATTTGTTGTGTATTTCTTAGTTAATGCGGAAAAGTTATCAAAAAGATACACAAATCAAGTGGGTCACTTCATTAACTACTATTTGCACTAGGCACTACTGAAGTTTAAGCAGCCACAAATTCCTTACAGCTATTTCTTATCTAATCTTGGAAAGCACCTTTATGAACATCTGGTTGATATATGTGACTTCCTTCCACACACGTATTTCAAGAAAAACATTCTAACCAAATATAAAGTATATAATTTTGAAAATCATCTTTAAGATGTTAACTAAATGAACCATAAAAAAGTAGATAGGAAAGGGCTAGGAGTGGTTCATTGGTAGTCCCTGGGTTTGATTCCCCAGCACCATGAGAGAGACAGACAGACAGACAGACAGACAGACAAAAACAGAGACTGAGTAAGCAAACCAAATTCTCTTAAGTATCTCCAGTATGAAACTTTTATTCCTGTGCCTATGTGATAAAGAAACATGAAAAAAATTGATGACTTTTTAACTTATGCCTAGAAAGTAAAATATATAAAATTAAACTAGTAACTTAAAAATACACATGGCATTTTAATTTTCTAGAAAATAAATTATATAAATGGTAGTATATCCTATCCTGTGATCAACATTACAGTTTAGTAAGCCCTGTTAATATCTTAAATTTCACAAAACCAGATATCCTAATTTTATTAAAACATAGACAATGGACAAGTATCAATCTGCACAGCTCTTCTGGAGGTTAATCTGGGAAAATTTTTTGAAAGTCTAAGAATTTTTGAAAGTCCGAAACCCCGTAATACAGAAATTCTTCTTCAAATATTAGAAACAAACATCAAAGATGCACACATACAAAAATATCAAACCTATGCAAAAGCCAAGAATACTACCAGGGGTACAATTCATTTAACACTGATAAGAAGTTCAATTCTTCAAGAAGCTACAACAAAATTAAATGTTCATGGATTTGATAAGAAAGCTCCAAAAATAAATGACCCAAAAGCTAATAAACTGCAAGGGAGAAACAGATCAATCCACAACTGCAATCAGATTTAAATACCCCAACAAAGAATAGAACAAGTGGGCAAAATATGTGTCAGCATACAGAAGATTTGAAAAAAACTACCAACCAATTTCATCCCATTGACACGTCCTTCACCTACAGCACAATCAACTCCAGAGCAGCACAACACACATTCCCAGGGCTCAGAGACCATTTGCTTTCCAAGCGAAGCCATATTCTGGCTCATAGAAAAAAAAATCTGAGTTTAAAAAGGTCCAAGTCATGCAGAATATGTTTCTTGATAGAAATTAAAAATCACTAACGGGGGCCAGGGATTTAGCTCAGCGGTTCGGTGTCCTGCCTTGCAAACGCAAGGACCCAAGTTCAATCCCCGGTACCCGCACAAAAAAAAATCAGTAACGGAAAGACAGCTGGAATACCCACAAATAAAGGGAAGTTAGAAAGCACCTGGAACTACAGAAAATGAAAATACAACATATTAGAGTCTGAGAATGCTGATAAAGCAGCAGTTAGGGGAAATTGTATAATGCTTGACACCTGTATTAGAAAAGAATAAAAATCTTAAAACAGTAACTTTGAAGGTAGATATGGGGGAAAAGAAAATGAAACTCAAAGAAAAACAAAGATCAGAACACAAATCAATAAATAAACCAAACAATAGAGGAAGCAATTAAAAAAGTTCTTTGAGATGACTGATACAATTAGTACATCTAGCTAGAGTGATTAGTAAATAAAAAAGCTAACAAATACCGACAATGAAATAACTCCAAATTTAAAACATATTAAAGATTAAAAACCAGGCTGGGGATTTAGCTCAGTGGGTCCATCTTCCTGCCTCACAAGTACATGGTCCTGAGTTTGATCCCTGGTACCAAAAAAAAAAAAAAGATTAAAAACCCTCCTATGCCTATAAATTCAACAACTGATACGAACTAATGTCCCAAAGCAGCAAAAGTTCACTCACTGAGAAATAGGCAACATATGTAGTCCCATGTCTGTTAAAGAAACTGAGTTTGGAGTTAAAAATCCAGCCTATAAGAAAAGCTCTGAGTCCAGATGACACTGCTGGTAAATTCTATCAAACAAGGAAGAAAGGACAACAGTTCTGTACGTATTTTTCCATGAAGCAGAATATAAGCTACTTTCCAACTCATACTGTGGGATAATTACTACATTAATACCAAAATTAAATGACATTATAAGAAAATGACAAGCACTATCACAAATAACACAGATGCAACTACTCTAAATAAAATCTTAGTAAATCTAATTCAACAAAATGCATAAAATAAATCATGACTAAGTTGGCTTTATCAAAAGAAGTGCAACACTAGGACAGTATTTTTTTAAATGCAGTTTAATCGCAAACTGCAACAACAAAAAAATGTCATCACCAAAACATGTAATGTGGAAAATAGACCATCCTCCCCCCAAATGAAGCTAGAACTGGACATTCATACGCAAAAAAGAACCATAATCTATACCTCACATCTCATTCAAAATAAACTCAAAATATATCACAAATCCAAAAGTATAAAACCTAAAGCTATAAAATGTCTGGAAGAAATTTAAAAGAAAATTTTTGGGACCTTATGTTAAGGAAAGATTCCTTGCTATATAACCAAGAGTACAGTAAATAAAATGTGATAAATTAGTCTTCACCAAAATTAAAAACTTCTTTGAAAGACACTACTAAGAGAATGAAGAAAAAAGAGAATGAAGAGATAATCTACACACTGAAATAAACATATTTATTTGGATATGAAAATACATATCCAAAAATGGACCTGCATCTAAAATATTTAAGTATAGTATCTTGCAAAATGCAGTAAGTTAGCCAAATTTTTTTAATTGGACATAAAATAGGGATGAGAATGCAGCTCATGATAGAGTATTTCCCTACTGTGCTTCAGGCCCTAAATTCAGTTCCCAGCACCACCAATAGTAATAATAATAATAATAATAATAATAATAATAATTAAAACCTGGGCAAAATTCACGAACAGGTATTTCACCCAAAAGCATGAATAGGCGCAAAATGAACACATGTGAAAATATTCAGCATTACTAATGACTAGCGAAGTTTCTATCAAAAGCATAATCAGGTACCAATATATACCTACTGGAATGGCTAAAGTAAAATGACTGACTATATCAAGAGCTGACAAGGCTACAAAGAAAGGGGTGGGCTCTCACGCACCTTTGGTGGGAATGTAAGGAATACAGCAAAATTTGAAAAACTAACTTTGTCAGTGTTCCAAAAGTGAAGTATACATGTACCAGATGATCCAGACACTCCAATCCTAAGACTTATCCAAAATAAATAAAAGCCAATGTCCGTTTAAAAATTCAACCACGAATGTTTATAGCAGTTTTATGTGCAATAACCACAAAGCCATTAACAACCCAAGTAGCTACCAACAGACTAACATGATTTAAAAAGTACTGGTGTATCTAACAATGGACCATTAGCTCTGTAGTCTGAATGAACAACTAGAACATGCTATGAGCTAGGTGAAATGTCCGATTAATTAGCAATTAAGTGAAAGAATCTCGAGTGTCTTAATACATACTATATCTGCACGCGTATAACATTATAAAGAATGCAAATTAATATATAAGGACAGAAAGCAAGTTAGCAGTTACATACAGAAGAGGCTACGAGAAGGGAGGGGTACAACGCAGGCATTTGTAAGCACAAGAGGAAACCAGAGGAGGGATGCATATTTTCCTGTCTTAATTATGGCGGTAGTTTCCCAGATGTATAAATACAACAAGCTTATCAAAATGTAATATATAGGCAGCTGATTATACTCCCATTACACTTCAATACAGCTGTTTTTAAAAAAACAAAAATAAATGCAAAAATGCACTTACAGTACTTTACATACAGTCTAGGGTACTTCAGTGTAACAAACACACACACACACACACACACACACACACAACTATATACAAACTGAAAGCATGAGTGAAAAATCAGCTGTTCTCTTTTCTTTCCCTCCTCCTGCACATTTAAAGAAGCCTATCAATTACATCACAGACTAAAATCCGGATAAAGAAAGGCAAAAAAAGAAGTCAAGGGTTTTATTGTCAAGTATGGACAAAGAGAAAGTAGAAGAGAGGGAAAACAGCTACCGGCAAGGAAGGAGACTTACAGAGAGCTGACTCGCAAAGAGCGAAAACTGAGAATGCTTAGAAAAGCCATCCAGAGCATTTCTTCTCCAATAAAAATGAATGCCTGTCTAAATATCTTCCACAAGCTACTTATATCATTGCCATATGTCTAGCGAGGCGATGCAGCATAAGAAATAAATAGTGCTAACGTTAGGGAAGCGGTAATAAAAATGACACGTTTTTCCATACAAAATTTATTACACCGAGTCACCACATCGCTCAGCCTCCCACCCGACGTTTTGAAGTCACCTCTCTCTGCCACGGTTGGGAACTGTTGGGGGATATAAATCATAGTGCTTGCCTAAACTGGCATTTCCTTCCCCGCAAAAACACCCGTTCCAATTTCCGGGCTTTGAAGAAGTTTCCTCCGGGTAAAATCATTCTGCCAGAGGCACCCCAGAAGAGCCCGTTGGCTGCCTCACCGTGGGAAACTTGTGATAAACACATTGCGGGAGAGCGAAAGCACGGTCTGCAGAGATAAAAATCATTCAGGGGCCCGGAACTCAGGGCTCCAAAACGCAAGAAATAAAGCCTCGAACGGTCAGAAGAAACAGGAAGATGCCTGCAGAGGTGCGCTGCACGCCTTTCTCCTTTCCCCAAGCCTTGAAGCTTTGCTTCCTGTTTTACTTCGGTGTTTTGAGGGTGCGTCTGTTTCCATCCTCCCCCTCCAGTTCCCCTTCCCCTACAAAGTGGCGGGATTGTTTGCAATGAGATGAGTGCGAGTGTTTTGGTGAGAAACGCTGCACTTCAGCCCTGTGCCCCGGCGCCGCGGGTGATGATGGAGTGGGGCTCCCTCCCCGGCAGGCTGGGGACCTCCAGCTTCACCGCCTGGCCTGTCCCACCGCCACTGCCTCTCCTGCTGAACCACCTACGTTCACTTTGGCCCTAACGGTGCAGCCAACATGGAGGTAGATTAAAAACTCAGTTTTCCCCCATTTGGTCCATCAAGAGAAACAGTGTCGATTAAATTCTAATTACTGCATCTTCAGCTGCTAAAAAGAGCACAGGGGAGAACAGCAACCTAACGTTCAAACCTCCCGAGGCATCTGCCATCTTATGATAATCACTTCGTCACTCCGGCAGCGTGTGTGTCGCTAGGCGTGGAGTTATATAATAATAGCATCTTGTACTGTCGTTCTGTAGGCGATGTTTGCTTCGGCGGAATTCAACAGGGTGAAGCAATGCAAAGAGAGAGAAGGGCAGAAAACGCAACACAAAATCAGGGGCGATGAGAGACTAGCTTCAGAGGATATCGAGATCCAAAAGGAAATTGCATGTACTCAGTTAAGACGATCCTCCAGCTTATTAAAGGAATTCCTCCCACAAGGGAAAAGAAATGAAGTCACATGAAGAAGGTGAGAAAAAAAATACCTATTTACTACAGAAGCCGTGGATGGTTAGCCTTCGTTTTCTAACAGTAACTGAAAAAATCTTGGTCAGTTCCCTTACTCACACAAGCTGTGCATCTACTCAATAGTACGATGGCTGCAAAGACAACTGGCTAGGAAAGTAGAATCGCTCCTAGCCAAGTTAACAAAGGCAACTCACTATCTTCTGTATTCTCCTTTACTCTTTCCTTCATCCATCAAACACAGCCATTCTCAACCTCAACACGGCTGACATTTTGGAATAAGTCATTCTTCAGGGGGAAGAGCAAGCTATCTTATTTGTTGTTGTAGGTCTAGTAGCTCTCCAACAAGTGTCATAACCAAAAACATCTGCAGACACTGTCAAATGTCCCCTCGGTGGTAAAATCATCCTTACACGGGAAAGTGTTCTGATATCTCAACAGCAGGTAGCGCCCCGGTGCTGGGAATTACCGCAGGGAATGGAACAGGTAGGGAGGGTACCGATCTTCAGAAAGCTTGCATTCAGTCCCAGGTCAGGACTGATGAGAGCCATCTTAATTCTCCTCTAAACTAGTCACTCTCGGTGGCATTCTCATTTGTACTAAGGGCACACAGTTAGCCACAATTTTATCCCTATACCAACTAAAGGTGACAATAATTCAAATAATGATTTAAGGGGGGAAAAAATGAACCATAGCTAAAAGCATCTTTGAATAAAGTATCCAAAAACAGGTGCTACATGAAACCACTGACAAATGTTAAGATAATCACAAAGAGAGAGAATCAGACAACACAGATTACCTGACAGCATACAAAAGCAAGAAAACATAGCTCTACTGTAAAATACCATTGAAGTAAATAAATCATAATCTAAATCTAGCAGAATACAGATTTAAGTATATGCAAGAGTTATGATGGCCAGAGACACAAGTTAAATGACACCATGAGGGTATCATCAGCCATATCGAAGATGCAGAAAATTCTATTTTTAAAAATGACCTCAGAACTGACTCAGTAGCTCAGGGTAGAGAATATGCCCAGCATGTGGCCCTGGGTTCAATAAGCAGCAGCATTAAAAAATCCAGGCTCATCAACAAATAAATGCCAGGGGCGAGGAAGGGAAGAGCTGCGCAGATGAAAAGAAACTCAAGACACACAATGTGAAAGGTCAACACTGTTTAAATCCTCTCATATTTGAGCACAAAAACACTTTGTAAAAAATCAGTAAAAGCTGAACAAAAACTGAGTACTGGAAAATATTAATTTTCTTGAGTAGAAGAATTATATCAATTGCATTTTTGAAGTCTTTATCTTTGTTGAGATATATACTCAAGGATGAATGGGTACAGAGATACTATGTTTTAGAAAATCTTTGAAGCATTATCCCAAAATTGAGGCAGGACGTTGATCACTCAAAGAGGATCATGGAATCACGAGGATTGTTTACATCACTCCTTTGGTCTTATATATTTAATAATTTTTTGCTTATTTTTTTAAAGCAATAAATAAGTAGATTTTAATGCACTCACTGGAACCCAAGGAACTTTTACACACAAAAAAAAAAAATCACTGTAGGTATAACTACAGTAACTGATCTTCAGGGAGCCCAACCATTTTTTGCCATATAAAAATCCAAGTCCCCAGCGGGTGTGGTGGCACACACCTGTTATCCCAGCCTCCAGAAGCTGAGGCAGGAGGATCGCTGTGAGTTTGAGACCAGCCTGGGCTACACAGTGAGTTCCAGGTCAGTCTCAACTACACAGTGAGACCCTGTCTCAAAAACCCAAACAAACAATCCAAGTTCCCAAGAGAACCACAGCATGGACGTTATAGTGCAACTTTATTGTACTTTATTCACTTCTCTTTTTTATTCTTTTTGCACTCTATATACTTACTCTTCACTAAATTCCAAGCTATGTGTCATTAACCTTTCTGTTTTAAAGAAAGGGTAATAGCTCATTAAAATGATTGACCCCTATTCTAACTCTAGTTCTATGTATTTGCACATAATAAATGGACAATTTAAATGTGCCTTAAACGTAATAACATAAACCTCTTCTTACATAGCTTTGTATTTAAGTGTTGTGAACCATTTTGTTCAAATCAATTAAATTTAAACTGGAAAAATCTTCATCTTAACATACAAATAAAAGGGTTCAGGGAATGCAGCAAATAGCCTCTGTCATTGTTTCACTGTGTTTAATTCGTACAGTGTTTAATCTGCAACAGGTACCTATTTTAAGGTCCAAATCTATTCCAACTCTTGTGATGTCACTGACAACTGAGGTTCATCGACTACTTAGCTCCGCTTCTGGAACACTGTTAAACACCTCATACATCTTTCCTTTTTATTACAATTTAACTTAACAGTCAGTATTCATGTGCAGCGTGTGTCAGGTCCCACATCCAAAGAGAGAGGACCTTACCTTAAATACTGTTTCAGAGCACTCGTGATGGTCTTCACTTCCCATTCTATGGAATTCTCCAGGTCCAGCTCACTGCAAGTTTTTACATCTAGTGCACAAGCAAGACAGGAAAATTCATTAAAACCTGGAGCATTCACTGGCCCTGTTGCCAAGCTCACAGAGCTTCCATTTTTACATAACCAAACTACAAATAATTAGTCCTGTGGTTTCCCTTACACACACACACACACACACACACACACACACAAAATATATATATATATATATACACATATATAACTTACAATACTACAAGCCATTATAGACATTTCTAGCATTTCAGAAAACCCAAAGGAGGGATCAAAACAAAAGGATAAAGTTTGGCTGAAGTCTGTAAAGAAGAATTAAGAGAACAGCATTTCAACGTCCCCAGTGCACTTATTCATGAACAGCTAATGTTATCAAGTGCACCATGGAACGGGTACAACTCAGCAGCCATGGCTTCGGCACGGGCATTTCGGCTGGATTAGTTTAACCTGCTTCGGAGGCACTACTCTACTGCTGTCGTGTGGCATTATTTATCACAAGGCAAGCAGAGGATGGACCTATTCATATCAAAACCACCACCAGAATGGCAACAAGCCAGTGGGGGAAAGGGTAATAAGCTTGGTCCCGCATTTCAAGATTCATATCCATTATACTGTTTTGCTGCACAATAACACACAATCAACCCAAACAGCGAACTACGATGACACACACTTAAAAAGTCACGTATGGTTTAACCTGATTGAAACATTGCACAATGTAGTCATGCATCAGAACATCACAGTACCCCATCAATATGTCTAATTTTTATATATCAGTTAAAAATGAATTTAAAAGAAAGGCCACCTATATGGACAGGGTCATTTATGAGCAATTTTTCACACCGATAATACACTGTGTATTCATCCAGGAAAGAGTTATTGGACACATCTGTGGAACACCACTGACAGTCACTCTAAACTGAGCTGGTTTTCTTGTTCTGAGTGTGTTAAAGATGTCTTACTTTCAAATGCCATTTAAAATAGGTTCCAAAGAAAAGATGTGAGGTACAGAAGAAATGAGAGAGGAGAAACAAAAACAGTGAGAGCTGAAATGAAAAGAAAGCATGGTGACAGAAGCAACCTCCCTGAGTGTGGTGGCATCTTTGATCCTGTACCTCTCTGGCCAGAACACTAAGCAGGGCTGGCAGCAGGGAGGAGCACGGCGTGGGCATCCCACACGGTCCTCAATGCCTGTGCCAACCCGGGCCAGCAGGCTGCCCCAAAGGGGTCGTAACCCCATCCCAACTTCAGATCCTCATCTGCATGACTGAGATTATGTTAATGCTTTCAGAAAACTGAGAATCAAAGCAAGTCAAGAATATGGACATATTTCCATGAATTATTAAACGTAGCGGGTTCCTGACCCAGCTAAATCCCCACTACAAAGCATGATAAGCCTTCAGGGGTGGACTCTGCTCTAAGCAAGCAGGTGGTACGTGGGTTACGATGAATGGTATCAACCATATACACTATCCTTCCTAGTTTTCTACATTCCTGTCATGCAAAGGAGAGAAGGTGAGATTCGTGGAAGAAACCCTGTCCCTCACTCTTGAACAATGGCTCAACCGTGACTCCAAAAACCTAGTTATTGTAGTTTTAGTTTTTGTCCCCGCTCTCCCTTACACTGTACCTGTCTCTATATAGAAGAAAATGTCTTTTTAGCCCTTCCTCTCTAAAAGCCCTAAAAAGTCAAGACGGTCAAAGCAGGACCACCACATGAAGATGCTTGTGCTGTCTGAAAAGTTTTAGGCATGATGAAGAATGATGACAACTTAATGTCAGACTCAAACTTTTCAAAAATAAAACAGGAAGTGATGGTGACTTCACAGCCTAATATCATACAGATGAAGTCAATTACTCAAAGGTCTGGAGTCTTTTTAAAGCACTTCAACATTTCTTGATTACAGCAACTGACAGCAATATGCAATAAACTACAACAATGGCAACTGACACTGATTACATTTTGATCAGTTCCTACAATTCAGAATTCATTTGTTACTGAGCTTGTCAGACAAGCCTCAGATACATTCAAGAAATCAAATTAAGCACCCTGATTAAAGATGCAATCCTTTATAACTAGGACTAAATAATTCTGTTCTAAAGGCTTTGCCAACCAATTACTTCTGTAACTGAATATTCCGTCTCTCATTAAATCAATTATTTAAATCTCATTTTAACATACAAGTCAGATAACATTTTCAATCCACTTGCAACCAGCAAATCACCATTTTAAAAGCCAAGAGGCTTCTAAAGGAAATCTTTTATTTCCAACTTTCTACCAAATTATCATTCTGTATTTTGAGAATAGTATTCTTTCCATGGAAAAATAAGCCATCCTTGGAGAGTCATGGAATAAAAACAGCTGTCACATCAGAAGCTAATGACTACACAGTGTCTGTGTTATTAATCCTCTATTAGATTTTCACTGTTTTCAAATAACTCAATCATCCCCAGCAGTCCCTAACACAATTGGTGGATTCACTGAGACTACGTAAAAAGTTTTTTGTTTTTGTTTTTGTTTTTTTGGTACTGGGGATCGAACTCAGGACCTTGCACATGCAAGGCAGGCAGCAGAACCACTGAGCTAAATCCCTCGCCCTTAAAATTTGGTAATAACTTATTTAGGCTTCCAAGGTAAAAACATGTTGAAAGTGTTCATTCAGATCCTATGTTCTACCATAAATGAGGGAAATTTTGTGCTTTCTGACAAGAAAAAAAAAAAAAACATCCTGTGGCTAGTTAAAAATCTAAACTGAAAGGAACAAAGAACTGACTTTTTATTAGGGTGAATGTTTTGCACTTGTAAAAACACTGGTCACCTCTTCCAAGCTAGACTAGACAGCCACAACCTAAATGCAAAGTGTGGTTTTATGCAGCAGCTAATGTTCTATTCAGCATGGACTTGAAGAAGCGCAATGATCGGGTGAATTTTGAAAATATGCTTTATAAACAAAATTCTGAATTTTTTTTCAGGTATCCTAATTCACTTCCCCCCATTCAAAGAACTAGCCATCCTACACGCAAAGTAAACATGGTAGTATTTGTAAAGCAAAATTCTAAATTATTTTTATTTTCTATGGGTTTCTAAACATAAGTAAAACCACACAGCTGTCTTTGCAAGTAAGATTTAAGAAATAATCACCAAGTGCACCTGACCAAATACATTACTACCTCATCGTCTCACCTGGCCTGGCTTTGTTCCAGAGTGGGAAAGAGAGAACATACTCATAAGCAATTCATTCTAATTCCTATCAGTTCTATCTGTTGTATCAGCTCACTGTTGTAGCTGTGTTACATTCTCACCTCATTTACAAAGAAACATGACTGCCTCACGGACATTTTACCTCTTCTTTCTCCCTGCATTCTTCAACCATTCCATATTTCAACCCACTCAATGGGGCTTTTTTGTTGTTTTTCAGAAGCTGAAGCTTCAGAAATTTAAGCGTGGCTCAGGGGAAATCTCAGAGGGTGGTGGAAACTCAGAATGTTGTCTTCAGCTCCCACAATGAAGAAAATGCACAAGGCCAACACTGCCGGGGGAGGAAAAGAGTGGCCTTCTTCAACTGGCCTGAAGGGGCATCCATGAGCTCTCTACCAAAGACGCATTTCTCTGGGCAACAGCTATCACTATTCCATGTTGGTGTGAGGCAGAAGATGGGGAAAAGGAGAAGAGCAGGAGGAAGGAGAACGTGAGAGGAAGAAGAGGGACTGGAGGGGCAGAAGGAGAAAAGGGAAAAGAGGAGCTGGAGGCAAGAGTGTCTAAAGGGAAGAGGAGTTGGGAGAAAGAGGAGCACAATGGAGAGAGTCATTTTTCTCCACTTTCATCCTATATGTGAAGCGGAAAATGAACCACAAAAAGAAGACAAACAGAATATGCAAAAGACTCGAGCATATATTCTTTCTTTAGAGAACTCCAAAGCTACATGTGACCATTTAAAGAACACTTAAAACATTTTACAGAGAAAATGCAAAACATTTTATGTAAAAATAGTAGTAATTTTTTAAAATGAAAGTAAACAGCGCTCAAGAGTTTAAAATCAAGGAAGATCTCCTCTAAAAATCCAATGGCTTCGAACTTTTCTCAGACACTTAAAAATTAGATTAGTTTTCATTTTTATAAAGAAAAACAGTACAAACAAAAATGGGCTTTGAAATACATTCAAACTTGAATTAAACATGTTACTTTCAGGAATAATAATAGAAGGCACTCACTGGTATAAAAAAACAAAATTAAAAATTTGGCAGGTCCACCCATGTTGTTTTGGTTATTTTTCCTCTTTAGAGAAAAAACACAGAGAGGTGAGAAAAGTTGGAGCTGTCTATGGGATTCTGTGTACATGAATTTTCAAAGCCCTAAAACACTTTTTTGGAAGAGGTATCAAATTATTTCCATGTGAAAATTTAATCAGGATAAAAAGTAAGGTTAAGGAAATCTTAAATTGATTAGGAAACCGTGACTACATCTATTTTGTCAAGAGTAAGGTTTGTGTTGGTAACAAAGAAACAAGAAAACAGCATTAATGTGAGTCCAAAGTTCTTCTTTGACAATGTAGAATTCATACTAGGGGCTATTTATAGATTAATAAAAACAAGTTTATACTATACAGACCTCTTAAATGAATTATTTCGTCAGGAAATAACAAGTCAGGGTCTTTCTCTCATGCGAATTCTCTAACTTCCTCTGCAGAATATTACTGAAAACACAGCATTTCCCTTGCCAGCAACTTGAATGAGGTTGTGACACACTTGTGTCCTGGACTTCTCTACTCTGCCGCTTAGGGAAAGGAAAGACAGATTTCCAGGTCCTGAATTTGTGGGAGGTTCTTCAAACACATCTTGTAAGGTAAGAACTGTCTTGGGACAGGTCTCATGAGCAGGGGAAACTATCACCTACATTCAGTAATGTCCTGCATGAAGGACTTCACACAGATGAAGGACAAATTTTTGGGACAGCTAAACACTTTGGGGAGACCACAGAAACACCCTTGTTCAAACTTTCCTTGAACAGGAATAAGAAGATGACAGAAAATAATGCCAGGATCCCTATGGCCAATTTACAGCCAGAATGTACCTCTTATCCCGAATCTCCCATTCTGATACCAAAAGGGTTTTCCAATTCTAATCACTGTAACACTGTATTGGAATGAGAGAAGTGTTTCTAATTTTAAAATTCAGTAAAAGCAGATATTGTAGTCCCATTAAACTCTTCCAGGGCTGGGGATTTAGCTCAGTGGTTTGGTTGCCTGCCTTGCAAGCTCAAAAACCCAAGTTCAACCCCTGGTACCAAAAAAAAAAAAAAAAAAAAC